GCAAAATTGTCTGTTCAGGTCCTTTGTGAACTACTAGATTCTTTTGCTACTTTGTGGTATTTTTTGTGTACACCTTAGATGACAACTCATGAATTACATGATTACCTGAAATTTTTGCCTAATCTATAGGATGCTTTTTTAATTTGCAAAATAGTTTATTTGCTGTGCAGAAACTTTTCAGGTTGATGTAGTCCATGTTTATTTTTGTGTTTTATGCATGTAGTTTTGGTCACCCATATAAGAAAATACTTATCAGTGACAAAGCATTTAATTGTCAATGAGGTTTTTCTTCCAGGGTGTTTGTTTCTTTTTCTCTTTGCAACCGTGAGCAGAGATTCAAGTGACCCAGAATATATGCTCAACCTGTGTTTTAGTTAAAAACATTTTGTGGTATATGGTCTTTTGGTCAGGTCTTCGGGGTTTTGTTTGTTTGTTTTTTTGCTGGGGGTGGGGGGGTTCATTTTCACATATCATGTAAAATCAGGGTCCTGTTTCTCTCTTCTGCATCCCGATACCATTTTTCTCAAAGGTATTCATTGAGCAGACTCTGCCTTCCACATTGTGGTGGTCTTTATCAAAGTGGGTTGACTGTGTTCATATTTGCGTTGATCTTGTTTTGTCCTCCCCGTTTTTGTCCACAGTTCTAGGTGTTGTTTTTATGCAAGTACCGTATATCTGCTGCATAACTGCAGCTTGGCAGTGTGATTTAATATCGAGGATTGTGGGTCCTCACTTTGATTGTATTTCTCAGCATTTCTTTAGGTATGAATTGCTCTTATGGTTCCCTGTGATTTTTGGCAATATGTATTTATTTCTGTTAACTTTTTTTTTGCAGCATAAAGGTGTATAATTAGAGATACATTTTCACACATGTAGATTGGGTAATGATCAAATCAGGGTACTTAGGATCTCTGTTCCGTCATAAGGTATTATTTTTGTATGGAGAGAACACTCAAAATTCTCCTTTCTTGTTCTTTTGAAAAATATAATTTTGTTAATTCCAGTCAGGAGGCTGAAGAAGAGAACACTCAGATTTATTCCTTTAAGGTTAAGATAACTCTGCTTCCATAACCAGTCTCTACTTCCCCTCTATCTCCCAGACCCTGGTAACCAATATTGTGCTTTCTACCTGTTTAAGATACACATCTTAAGATTCAGTGTTTGTCTTTCTTGGCCGAGCTCATTACATTTAATGTAATATTTTCCAGGTTCATCTGGGTTGCTCCACATGACACTGTTTCTTCATTTCGGTGGCTGAAGAATATTCCCTAGTGTATGCATACGAGAGTGTGATCCGTTTATCTGTGGATGGACAGGTAGGTCAAATGTATACCCAGTAGTGGGAATGCTAGATGGCATGGTAGTTTTTTTTTCTATTCTTTGCAGGACCGCCAACTTTTTTATAGCATTAATACTAATTTACATTTCCACAAACAGTTCTCCTTTGTGGAAATTCATACTAGAAGTTGTCTTTTAAAATATTTTAATCCGTTTTTAATGTTCATTCTAGTTGGAGTGAGATAAGATCTGAGGGTGGTTTTGATCTTCATTTTTCTCATGTATAGTAATGGTAACCACATTTCTGCAAACGTTGCTTCAGGCTCTTGTCTGCACAGATATCTCTTCAGGTTATTTGGTTTGGTTATTTTTCTGCTTTTTTGGCCAGCTGGTAGTGTTACTGGCTTGTTCCTTTTGAAAAATAACCCCTTATCCAACTGAATGTTTGCCCAAACTTTTCTCATAATTTTTAGTATGCTTTTTCATTTTGTTCATTGTTTATTAGGCACAGACTCTTCAGTGTGACATGGCCCCACATGTGTATAATTTCTTGGTTAGCTGTGCTGTTGGTTACTAATCAAGAAAAAACAAAATCACTACCAAGTCCATTGTCCATGATTTTCTTTTCCTTGTATTTTTGTTAGTTTTTGCAAATCGTGAGCATACATCCAAGTTGCAATAAATATACGCACACCTGAGGTTGTCTTTATAGGAGCTTTATGGTTGCAAGTTTTGTGTATAATCTTTAGCCCTTTTCAGTTGATTATTGTGTATTTCATGCCATAAGAGTCCTGTGTTATTCTTTTGCATATGGATACCTAGTTTTGAAAACCTTCCCCATTGTGTCAGTGTGGTAGTGTTTTGAAAAATGTATTCACTTTATATAAATTTGTGTTTATTATTTAACGCCCTCATTTTGCTCACTGGTCTGTATTTCTCTGTGTTTACCAGTAACATATGGGTTGGTTAACTAGGGATTTTCATTAGAGCAGAACTCAGGGGCTGTGATACATGCCACATGGTTTGTGTTTCTCAGGATAACTTTGAAAATTCAGGGTGTTTCACATTTCCATGAGAATTTTGGCATTGTTTTCTTTATATATCTTAAAATACCATTTGCTATATGTAAATGTATATAATTAGAGAGTACAGGGAAGATTTTGATACTTGTGTATGTTGAGTAATGATCAAATTGGGTTATTTAGCATCTCTTCACCTCGTATAGTTATAATTTTTTTGTGTGGTAACAACATTCAAAATATTTCCTTCTAGCTACTTTGAGACATATGATACATTTGTGTTAAGGCCAGTCACCCTGCTGTGGAATAGAAGACCAGAATTGATTGCTGTCATCTGAGGGTAACTTTTTACCCATTGCTGATTCCTTCCCAGACCCTCTCCATCTTCCCAGTGACCTCTAGTAACCCCTATTGAACTTTCTGCTTCTAGGAGATGAAGATGTTTTCAGTCTGCATGCCTGAGATGGTGTGGAATGGGACTTTGTCTACCAGGCTCATTCGTTGGACCTGATGATCTCCAGGTTTCTTCATGTGGCTCCAGATGGCAGGATTTCCCAGAGCTTTATGGCTGGAACGTACTCCGTGGTGTATCTGTACATCAGTTTCTTCATCTGTGCAGCTGTGTGTGGACAGGTAGACTGGTGCTGTACCCTGGCCACAGTTACAAGTGCCTCAGTACCCATGGAAGGCAGATAGCTCTCTTCAGCCCAGGGATTTCAACTGCTTAAAATGTGGAACCAGTGGTGGGGCTGCCAGCTAACATGATAGTTGTACTGTGAAGTTTTTCAGGAACCTCTTGCTGTTTCTCATAGTGTGTATACTAGTTTACATCTCTACCAATAGTGTTGAAGAGGTTACCTTTCTGTAAGTCTACACTGGCTGGCGCCTTCAAAAATTTGTGGTTTGTTTTTGGTAGTATTCATAGTGAGTGGAAGGAGATGGAATGTTAGCGTGGTTTTCATGGACATTTTTGTGAGTCTTAGTGATGTGGAGAAAGTCATTTGAGAAATCCCCACGTTGCTTTCCATGGTGTCTGAACTGGTTTGCATTTCCACCAGCAGCAGAGCAGCGTCCCTCTTCTCTGCCTCACCTGCATTCGTTCTTGCGGACCGTGTCCTAATCGTCATTCTGGCCAGTGTGCAGTACTATCTCGTGGGCCTTTTGCTTTGCCTTTTTCTGTTGATGACTGAGGTAGAGAAATGTTGTCATGTCTGTTGGTTGCTGTAAGCCTTCTTTTGAGGTGCATGATTTCCTGCCTCTTGCCCTTTCTTAATTGATTTTTTATTTTCCTGATTGATTTAACATCTTTAAGGTAGATCCTGGATATTAGCCTTCATCAGATGCATGCGTGGGAACATTTTCTCCCGTTGTGCAGGCTGTCTGTTCACTCTGTTGGTCATTTCTTCTGTGCAGCAGCTCTTCTGTGTATTAGGTGCCACTGGGCAATACTTGTTTTAGTTGCGCTTGCTTTTGGAGACTGAGACACATCCATGCTGTGCCAAATCCTCTGTCAGGAAGGGTGTTTCTAGGTTCTCTTGCAGGCTTTTCATATGTGAGGTCTTGCATTTACATCTTTCATGCATCTTGAGTTTATGTCTGTACACCGTGAGACACGGGGCCCACTGTTTTTCTTCTGCAGCTAGCTAGTTATTTATGCCAGCGCCATCTATTGAAAGGGGGGAGTCCTTTCTTGAAAGCTTATCTTTGTCGATTTTGTTGAAGATCAGATGGTGTTAGGGGTGAGGGTTTATGTCTGGGTCCTCTAATCTGTTCCACTGCACTGTGTGGAATGGGGTCCCTAGCTTTTCAATGAAATTTAACATCGGGAAGTGTGACACAACCGAGGTAGTTTGGATTTCTCAGAATTGCTTTGGAAATTCAGTGTGTTTTGTGGTCCACAGGAATGTTAGCATTGTGTATTTACATCGTTTTTTAAAACGTTGGTCATACAGTAAAGGTATACAATGGGGGGAGTTTAGAGTGGGGCATTTTGATTAATGCAGACACAGATGAATGATAAAATCAGTATATTTAGAGGCTCTAGTATCAGAAACAGTTGTTAATTTCTTTGTGGTGAAAACATTTGGAATCTCCCAGATTTTGTGAAAAGGGTGTGATGTTGTGTTAACCTCTGGTCACTTGACTGTGGAACAGCGGGAAGAATTCATTCCTCTCATCTAAGTGTAACTTTGTGCCTATTTCTGACCTCTGCCCATCCCCCTTCTTCCCTCCAACCTTTAGTAACTATTACTGTGCTTTCTAGACCTGTGCAGTGAAGCCTTTTATTTTGGATCCTACATTGGTTGTTCTTTTTCTGCCTGTCTTAGGTCATATACCACGATTTCCTCCAGGTTCAACAGCGTGGCTCCCAATGATGAAATTTCATTCTGGTTTTTTGGCTGAAGACGATTTTATTTGTGTACATCCACCAAGTATCCCTTCATCTGCGGATGAGCAGGTAAGTCTATTCTTTGTCTTGGCAATGGTGAATAGTGCTGCAGTCCACATAGGATGGCAGACGCCTGTTGCATGGACTGATTTCTTTTGCCCTGAAAGTATACTTAGTAGTACACTTGTTAGATGAAGTGGTAGGTATAGGTTAAACTTTTGGAGGAACCTCCCACTGGTTTCTGTAGTATGTGTACTGATTAATGTTCTTACCAAATGAATTCTTCTGTGGAAATTTACACCAGCATTTGTGTCTCTTTTAATGTATTTTATTGCTTTGATAACATCCATGTG